GTGGAACAAAGTAACTTAGAAACCTGAATGTAATAGAAATATTTTGAAGAACTAGTATCTGACAAGACAATGCATCATAAACCTCTGCATCGTGTATTTTCAGGTAAAAACAAGTGGAAAAAAAGCCGGCATAAACCACCCGTTAAGTTGTTTGCAGTGCGGGTTTTGGTGACCGCTCGACAGCGGCTCCCGTCGCAGGCAGAGTAAAATTCAGGGGCTCTGCTCTGGTGTCCAAACTTGGCCCTGAGAGCTGCTCTGCCACGTGAAGGCAGTTCCCTCAGTGTGGTGCAGTTGGCTAAGATCCACGCCGGTAACTAACGGGGGGCAGCCTTTGGTTTGCGACACGTGTCAGGAGCTCCCTGCGGCGCCGCCGGGCCCGCGCTCGCGTCAGCCACGAGGGGAGAGAGGTGGGTTGGTTGTTCAGACCGGAGAACAACGCGTTGTTTGTTCCCCACACGCCGGCGTGGACGGCGCCTCGGTAGCTTTTATGCTGATGTGAATAACAAGCAGGGGTGGTGATGGGATTTAATCACAGAGAGCCGAGCGCCGCACGCAATCACACAGCCTAAGTGACACTCATAGGAGGATCTCTTTCTTTTCCTCCTCCTCCAGGCTCCGAGCCCGAGTCTGAATAAAACATAACACACTTGAGAGCTCTTTAAAGCATTGTAAAGGAGGCTGCTTTCCCCTGAGTTTGTTGTCTAGCAGGGCTGAAGTTGCAGATGGGCGATGCGCCCTGTGTTTTATGGAGCTTACAAGTTCAGGAGATGCTTTTGTAGGGAATGCTGGTGCACCTCAGAAGCAGCAGCTGGCATTCCTGAGGGACCAGAGCTACAGATCTTCCACTGTGGGAGTTTCTCCCATTGTCATTACGGCTGTAAGACAGGCTGTGGTGGGGGTTTCATGCCTGGTTGAAGTGTTGCTAATCCTGGACTCGGTGCCAGTCGCTCGCTTGGGCTGATGTAGCTGCTTCTGCAGCCGTTTGGTGAGTCATGCCAAGGAATGGCTGGGCTGAAAACCCCAGCTGAAAAATTAACCAGAACACCCTGATTTGGCTCACTTTGTTTGCACAAACCAAACTGTCCATGCTGGCATGATTGGGAGTGCAACCTCAAAGTGGGAATGACAACAGAAATGGCACGTTCGTGTTCTGTGGCGTGGAGTGTTGCTGCTGACAGTGATAAGGGCACCATGTGAAGGCAGTTCCCTCTGACCACGTGGGTGTGTTGAGCCCAGTCTATTTGTTGGGCAGGCTCACTCCCACTAAATCTGTTTTGTCTTGTAAAGCTTCCAGGTAGCTGTCTGATGGTTTTCTGTTAGGGGAGCCTGGCAGGAACCTGTGTGCTGCTGGAAGGCTTCTCAGCCTCTCAGGTGCTTTGAGGCTTCTCCAACGCTCCATCAGACTCATCCCAAGAATCAGTGGGACTGGGATACTGTGTTTTTGGCCTAAGAGCGATTATTTGCAGCTGTGATAACATACTTTGTGCTTCATGTTTTTGGAAAGGCTGACTGGCAAGGGAGATCCAGGCCTTTGCACTTCTGGGTGTCCCTCACCTTCCCCATCTTTAGTGCTCGTGTCACTTCTCCTGAAAACAACACTTAACTTGGGTAGAAACCAGTAAATCAATATGTATTTTTCCTTCAGTGGGTACTGTCAAGACTAAAAACAAAGCTTGGAAGTCAGATGATTGCTTCTTCCTTTATTTGCACACAACTTGGCTTAGGTCTTGCTAAGTTAAACCTGCTGTTTTGCCAACTGATGCAAGGTTTCTAGAGAGTGGATACATTTCTCCAGGGACTGGGGTTGAAAATTGCTTCTTTAGAATGTAGCCTTACCTATTTTTAAGAAAAAGCTTCAGTGAAATAAAAAAGATGCGTGTGGTGCAGCAAATCAAACCTCTGGCTGCATAAACAGATCAATAAACTGATTTGTGTTTGCTGACCAGAAGAAAAATCTAATTGCAGGTACTCCATATTCAACATTTGTGGTAAACTAGAGTAATTGGAATAATGAGAAATCCAATGTGCTTTTGTTTGGAGTTTATTCTTCTTTAGGATTCATTAAACTGGATGGGCCTCTCAGGGCTCAGGCTGGTTATGTATCACCATTCCTAGCTCTTCAGACTTTATGGGTTTCTTCAGATTCTAAATCATCATACTTGCTGTCTTTTAATAAGACTTGAAAAGATTGAAGCAATATTGTTCCTGGTGTTTAGAGGCTCGTTTCACTGGCGGGAGTGTCAGTTGACTGAAGTTTGAATGCATCTGAATGGCAGAATAGCTCTTGGGCTGCCTCAAATTCCAGGTCTGTGCAGTTACTAACACTTGCAAGAGGAAATAATGCTTTCCTGCATGTCCTGAAGATGTATTTCCAAGTACTGTTGTGTCAGTCCTCAAGTATTTTTCATGTGAGTGCATCTCTTGCATCTCTTTGCTTTCAGATTGGAAAAAATAGAGGATGGAGGTCCTGGCATTTCTGTGAGGGATGGTATTCAGAAAGGTAAAACCTTTAAGAGAAAGAGGGGAAGAAATACTCCAGGAAGAACAATGAGGTTGGAGTTGTGTGAATGTGTTTTCTCCACCTGAGTGGGACAAAAGCTCTGTCAGGGTATCCTGAGTAGTTTCAATTGCCAGTAACAGAAATGAAGATGGTAGTAAAGAGTTCTTAAGAAGTTACTGCACAGAGAGTAGATTTGTCACCTGTGTCTGCTGTCACTTTGAGTTAAAGTCAGTAAATTGGACAGAGTATCATTAGCTTGGAAGTCTTGTTAGGATTGTTTGGAGAGTGGAAAATGAGTCCTCTGTGAAGGAAACAGAACAGGGTGGGCTCTGGCTGCTGGGAGGAGGAGAAGGAAAGAAAGGATTGGAGGTTGATGGGGTGTAACCAGGCAATGATGACTTTGTGATTTTAGCTGAATGAATAGCTGAAAATGATCCATTAAAAAAAAAGCTACAGAAATATAGAAGTTTTTGAAGGCAAGCTTGGAAAAGTGGAGGCAAAACCTCTTGCTGCTGGGTTTCATTTGCATCTGTCCATCAAGAACAGAGAGCCCAAAGGTCTGTAACTGGAGATCCCGAGTGTGAAGGGAAGGTGATGTGTTGCCAGTTGACATATGGTACCACCTGGGATTAGTTGAGATTATGCCAATGAAGACTAAACTCTGCGAGTTGATTCCCTTCACTGTTATTTAACAAAATGAAGTACCTTATCCTAAATTTTTTTTAACTGATTTAGTTCTTGAAATGTGAAGGGGAGTGGATTTTGGATGTGGTTTCAAAGTGCAGAAGTGGTGTCTGATCTACAGAAGAAGGCTGTGCTTCCTTCCTGAACTCTCTGGAGCATTTCCATTTCTATCCTGAATACATTCAGGAACATTTTTAGTTTTTTTATTCATGTAGCGGTATTTTCTTTATATCAAGTAGTTCCTATCATTTTCACTCTCTTCTCTTGCATAGTTACTGCCAGTGATCATATATCCCACTTCAGCTGAGTAAGCCAGACTGTTTTAGTCATTGTAAAATAAGACTGTGTGTACCCTGATCCCCCTGGCAGCCGGTTCCTCAGTTAGAGCCCAAGTTCACCTTTCCTGGCCACGGGCTGGGAGCAGTGCTGTAACTCTCAGACCATCCTCCTTTTCATTATAAAATCCTCCCAGGGACCTGCTCTCTTGCTGGTGTCTTTGAGTCTTTTGAAAGCAAAACCTGCTTTCGGTAGCAATGAATTGCAAACCTCAAAAAAATCAGGCTGTACCTTTTTTTGACCAATTGCACAAGAAAAAGGCTTTATATCTGGCTGTACAGTTGGTGGAACCTGAATTTTAAAATAGCTGGGTGCTTTTCTTACTCACCCAAGGAAGAGAAGAATGAGAGACACGGTGTTTCCACTCAGTTACATGTATGTGTTTGTACAGGATCACCATCACTGTATCAAAATCTTCATTGCAGGAATCTGCTCAGGCTTTTTCTTAATGCTGCTTGAGATGTCGGCTCCGTGGACTTCAAAAATTCAGGATTGGTGGTTTCAGGAGGGGTGAGACCCACATAACACCTTGTGATTGCAGAAACCTGACCTTGCCCAGCTCAGTTCACCACTTGGGGGTTTCTGGTGGCCATGCTGCCTCCTCCTCTCCACCCTTACAGTTCATTTTGCCACGTTTTTCTGCCTACCTTTGTCCACAGCCCAGCCTTAACCTCATGCTGAAGGAAATGTTCTCACTTCCCGCCTTAGTGTGAATATAGTATTTTTTTAGAAATTAAACAATTCCAGCATGTGTGGCTGTAGGTGTTTGACTCATAAGTTGTTGTGGCCATTCTTGGGTGTGCTGGGAGGATATTTATTATATCTAATTAATTATTTGGGGCTTGTTCCTTTAAAACTAGCATTTCGTAAAAAAAAAAAAATCCTTTCTCTTTCTTTGGTAAAAATTCCTGAAAATGTCTTATATCAAACATTTCTATATATTTAGAACATTTTATGGGATTAGTTCCAGCTGGGCTGAAATGCCATTCTAGGGTTGACCAGTAGCAACATCTAAATTTCCATGTGGGAGTGAGACCAAGTTCCACAGCAGAAAATTTTCCCTAGGTTTGGTTCCAGGGATTGGTGCAGAGGTCAGTGCTTGCTCCCTGGATGTGTGCCTTAAGATGGAGACTGAGAAGAGCCCCAGGGGGTTGGTGTCAGGATCCATCCTCTGAGTGATAGGGCTCGTGTTCATGCAGTGATGGCTTTGTCAGGTACAAAGCCCTTGGACTGGGGAGGATCTTCAATGGGATACAGTTACTGTGCATTTCCCACTAATTCAGCCTCTCCCCCTGACCTGAAGTAATTGTGTCTCATTCTCCTTGGGCAGATACCGTCAGTCACAGATCTGAAGGTCTGAGGATAAAAGAGAAGAGGAGCAGCAGAATGGCCCAAAGTGCCTTTTGGGCATGGGTGGAATTGATTAATCAGCAAAGCTGTGCCAGGATGTTTCATTCTAATCAGCTCTCTTGTGTTTCAGCCCTGGCCCAGCGTGTCCAACCTGGCCAAGGATTTCATCGACCGCCTGCTCACGGTGGACCCCAGTGACAGGATGACGGCCCTCCAGGCCCTGAAGCACCCGTGGGTGGTCAGCATGGCAGCCTCTTCCTCCATGAAGAACCTCCACCGTTCCATCTCCCAGAACCTGCTCAAGAGGGCGTCTTCCCGCTGCCAGAGCACCAAGTCTGCGCAGTCCACCCGCTCCAGCCGCTCCACCAAATCCAACAAGTCGCGGCGGGTGCGGGAGCGGGAGCTGCGGGAGCTCAACCTGCGCTACCAGCAGCAGTACACGGGCTGAGCCCCGGCTGGCACCCGCCGGGCGCCTTTCCAGATGTCTGCTCTGCCGTGGAGGTGTGCGCACACGCCCCGTGAGGAACGTCCGGGTTCCTCCCTCCCTTCCTCCGAGGTGTTCCCCCCCACCCACGAGGAAGCAGAGGAAAGGGAGCCCTGCGAGCTGTGCCGCGCCAGAAACGGGGCGGGGGGAGCCCCTGCGGGCTCAGAGCGCAGCTCAGAGCACCGAGCAATACAAAAATTAAGGAGCCACGTGGGGAGAAGAGCTCTTTCCGTGTCCCGGGAGCTTGGTTTGTTCGTAGTTATTTATTAATTCCAGAACGTTGAGTTTCTCCCGCTTGCGTGCGGGGGGGGAAAAAAACCCCAACCAAATCACTTGTCCTGTACATGCGCGTCCGTGTGTGCACATACACGTGTGGGTGTGTATATGTATCGGAAAATTATATATACACACAGATTTGGAGCTGGTTTAGTCAGACTCCATGGTGCCTTTGCAGCAAAGCCGGTGTGAGTCATATGCAGTTGGAAGTAGGATAGCTCTGACTCACGGGCTGCCCACCAGCTCCTCGCCAAAGAGATGCCAGACAGCAGTTTTCCATGATGGAAAGCTGGGAAGCTGCGAGGTTTCCCCCAAGGGCTGCCATCCACCTGATGACATCAAGGGTTTGCTCGTCAAGGGTTTTGCTCGCCCCGGTGACGTCAAGGGTTTACCCCTGGAATCATCCTTCTGTTTGCAGCGAGACCAGTGCCTGCCATGCAGGGTTTGGGCCTGGGCTGTGCCTCTGCCGTGTCTGTGACCTGTTACACACTTCAAAAGAAGAAATTGAGAAAGTCGAGTTGTCTGTGCTAAGTGGGGGGGGGGGAGGAAGGGAAGGAATTTCTAGGGATGTGCTTCCCACCCCAAAGCTGGGATGGGCTATAACCACTGTGTTACCAACCATGTCAGTGCACCAGAACTCCAGTGGTTCCAGGCTGCTCCCTGTCTGCAGATTTGACAGGGCTCCCCTGCTCTGTGTGCCTGTGCTGCCCCAGCACTGCCATTCCTGCTTTGGAACAGTGAGGTGATGGTGGGAGCTGTTGGGACGGCCACAAATCACTCCATGGCATCAGGGTAAGGACTTGAGAAGTGGAAGACCAGTCTGGGAGTGTCAGCAGTGACAGTACCCTGGAGACATTGCACAAATGCCTTAGAGCTGTTAGGGGTGACTTAAATTTAGCAGGAAAAAATTGCCTTTCAGGTGTCCTTGTGCTGTGTGGGTGACATGGGGCTCTCCCGTGGAGGACTCTCAGGGGAGGTGGGGAATGCAGAGCTGAGCTTTGTGCAAGCCTGCTGAGTTATCTTCCCAACTAGTTACAGCAGCAAAGTGAGGCTGATGGCACAGTCCCAGGATGGATTTGGCTTCTCGTGGTAGCAGAGACAAGATCTGCAGTGAAAGAGAATGCTGGGTTTTGAAACTTTTCATGTGAAACCAGTTTGCTTCGTGCTGTGCACTTGGGAAGTGCTTGCTTGGCTCTTGGTGGGAGGTGCAAGCTCAAGGGACTGGTGAGCATGGCCTTTTCCCAGGATTGATGCCTGTGCCACGGTGTTTCAGTGTCTGCAAGGGCTGGAGTGGACTCCAGGGAGCTCTCACTGTACTGGCCTCTTGGTCAGCAAACAGCAAAGCAGCTTCAGTGGGAGAAGATTGAGTTTTCTGTGCTAAGGGAAGAAAAGGGGAATTTCCTAGGGATGTGTTTCCCACCCCATAGCTGGGATGGGGTGTAACCACAGCAAGCTCAGCCTGGTGTGCCCAAGCATGCAGTGGGTAATACAGCAGAGGAAACCTGAGGATAGCCACTGTGTGTAGCAAGGGTGAATTCTAAATCCCTTGCATGGTTTTTCATGTTGTTTTGAAAGCTTTGCATCCTTTGCAGGCTCCTCTTTCTCTGAGCAACCATCCTACCATGTCTTTTTGCCACCAGCATTAACGGATACCGCAGAATTCCCAAAACCTGTTTTTTTCAACTCTGTCTGTGGACTGCAAACAAAAATGTCTTCAGTGTCTTTTACCTCCTCACATGGTTTTGTTACCGTGAGCTATAAACTAGATGTGATTTCTGACAGAGCAGCCAGCTTGCCACATTTTGCTTCATAAAGGATTCGGTGTCCCTCGTGTTACTGCAAAGCAGCTCTCTGAAAGCAGGAGCCCCTCTGAGACCAGCATCAGCTGGACCAAGGGTGCCCTGCACGTGAGGTGATGGCAGGATGCTCCCTCGGAGCACTTCTGGTTCTGAGCCGTTAGTCAAAGAGTCTTTGGTGTGTTTGGAGCATCACACCCAGGCACTGTGATCTCCTTTACCTCCCCGGTGCCCTCATGACCCTCCCCAGATTATTTTACATGTTTATCTCTAAAGCAGATATTTTGCCAGTGTGAGAGGGTCACACTGATGAACTGAGCCAAGATCTCTAGACCCTGAGACCCTTCCTGCTGACCACTAGACCATCAAAATGCACAGGCATCGTGCAGATGTCTGCCCTTACTGTTCCTTCATCCTTCTCTTGTGGGATGAGGGATAAATAGAGGTGGGGAGGAAGTCAGGACATTGAGCTCTGGGCTGACCAGGCTTGTTTCTCCACCTTCACAAAGCAGAAAACAGTCTTCTCATCTGAGTCACTTTTTGCTCCGTTGCTCTTTTCCACAACTGGTTTTTCACCAGGAAAAGTTCAGAGCGATGTGATTCGTGGTGACTTTGGGGTGGAATGTGTTGTGGGAAGCGAGATGTTGCTGTGTAGGTTCCTGGCAGTGTCAGGTTTTGGTGGTGATGCTCTGTGACTGGGGGTGAATTGGCACAAGGGAGGATCCATCACATACATGAGCCATGCTGAATCTCTGCCTCTCCGTGGTACAGAGGTGTCTGTGGAGCTCGGGCACTCTGCTTCTTGGGAATTACAGCAAGAGGACCAAGGCCATCACATAAGGGGCTTTGGCTTTTCTAGGAAAAGAACTCTTAATTCTCTTCACAATGTTTTCTTGTTTGCATGGAAAAATCAGTGTGAATTTGGGGAAAATTTTATGGGCTTTCCTTCCATTGTTTGATTAGAACACTGTTGGCTCATTCCCTCTTCTTTTTCTAAATTCAGTATTTACAGGAACTCTTGCACCCAGACAAAAACATGTGTGGGCAGAGGAGAGACAAGCAGAGCTCCCTCCAAGTGTCCCTGGAGTCCTCAGTGATCTTTCCTTCAGTCTGTCTGGAAAACTGTGAAGATCCAAGTGCCATGTCAGAAGGTCTCCAGCTTAAAACCAATTCCTCGGGTGCTTTTATCCTTCCAACTGGGGCATGTTTTCATCTGGGTCAGGTGCAGGGAGGGACAGGCAAAGTGCTGTAATTCTGAGCCATAGTCCAAGTGCCTTCAATCTGTCCTCTAAGAAGCTCTTCACTGTGAATTACCTTGATCATCTGTCTTCACTCCACAGGAGCATCTCCGTGCTCAGTAGGTCTTAAGTCTCAGGAGTTTACACTTTTCAGGAGTGCCTTGTTTGGGGATTTTAGAAGCTAAAGTCTCTCTGAAATGTTTTTTTTTTTTTGCTCTTCAGTTAAATTTTTTTAATCTCCTTCTTTGGCTCTTGATGGTGGTTCTTAATTTGGCTCGCAGGGTTTTTTTGGAAGCCTTCCTTTGGTCCTGTATGCGCTGGGAGAAAATAGGTAACAACTGCACGTTCCAGACCATCGCTGAGTGCAGTCTTTGTGTTAGCTGGGGTGCAAATCTCTGAGTACGTTTTGTTTTCCTTACTTTGGTTCATGCAGTGAAAATGAAGTTGGAAGGACACCTAGTGGCAAACTGTGGTGTTGTCCTTGTCCAAACACTTCTAGCCACATTCCCACTGTTTCTGGGTGAGATGCTCTTACAAAGAGGAATAGGGGGTTGGTTTGCTGGATGATGGTCTTGGACTTAGTCCTAGATGTTCATTAGCTGCCCTCTGTGGCACCTGATCCTGAGGAACAGCATTTCAGCCTCCACAGGGATGAGCATGAGTCCACAAGCACCCGCTGGAAGGGATCTGCAAGGCATCTGCAGTCAACTCCCCCACTGTTGCCAGGAGATGCTCACCAGCACCTTGGGGAGCATCCTCCTTGGGGAGGCATCTTGGGGGACACTGCAGGAAAGCAAAGCCTAAAGATGCCGAGGCTGGAATCAGTACAGAATCCTGGAATGATTTAGGTTGAAAAGGACCTTAAAGCTCATCTCATTCCAACCCCCTGCCATGGGCAGGGACACTGGACCAGGTTGCTCCAAACCCCATCCAACCTGGCCTTGAATGCTTCCAGGGATGGGGCACCCAAAGCTTCTCTGGGCAGTAAGTTTGGGACTTTCTCCCATCTTGAGACACGGTGGAGCAGCTCAGGGTGTTGCTTCCCAGAGTATTCTGTTTCAGGGAAATGCAGTTTTAAGAAGTAAAGGGAATTAGGGTTGTTTGTCTTTTGGAACTTAGCAGTACTGTGTAAAACAATCCCATCCTTTTGTCCTGGGAGTTTGGCTGCTCTCTTTGGGGAGAGAATTACAGCTTCAAAGAACGTTGATTCCTTGATTATTTTTTTTTTGAGGGTTATTGGAAAAGAATGTGAAAAGGTCTTCCAGAAATAGTGTTAGGGGCTCTACAGATTCACATCCAGATTTTTGAGTGCATAGTGGATTTTTCTATTCTTTTTGCTAAAACAGCAATTACTGGTCCATGTTTGATTTACTTCTCACCCTTCTCAGGCTTCTAAAACACTTCACATGTCAACCCAGTGGTTGAAACCCCCCTTTCCTTCAATGCAGAAGAAGTCTGTGCTATTTAACACTGAGATTGTGATAGCATCCAGATGCTCCTGCCTGTTCCTGGTCTGCACTGTTCTTGGAAGAGTACAGCCCTGCATGAGGGAAAGCTTTAGAGCCTTGTGAGGAGCTTAAGCCCAGACAACAGGGCTCAGACCTGCTGGCTTCAGTAGCAATGTGGAAACCAGCTGCAGTGCAGGGCCTGTGTTACGTGTTTGTTTTGGATGTGATAAACCCTCAGACTCTTCACTCCTCTGGAATCTGGATATTTTCTTCTTTTAGGTCAGATTTTTCTGTCCTGATAATTTACATTCTTTCTTAGACCCTGCTCTATTTCTCAATCCTGTTTTCTACCCAAGTGTTTGGCTAATAGAGCCAGCTTTTATCCAATGCACAAACTGGAATAGGGATGATGGTTCACTTGGCTACTGGGCAGCAGTTCTGGCTTTGGTCTGCAGGAGCTGTGGTGAGTCTGGGGCAAGGTAGAAACATCCATGGGAGAAGGCTCCCTTTGAGGACTTGCAGTGCAGGCTCAACTCAATATGATCTTGTACCACATAGGGCAACTAGTGTGTGGCTGTTCCAGGCCTCTTGTGGTGCTGCGTGGGGCCATGTTCTTAGTTTAAGTGATGATACTAAAGATTTGGAAGGTTCCAGGTGGCATAAATTAAAAATCTCAATTGTTTGACTTAATTTATTTTTCTAAGTGATGCAGAGCAGCACAGAGATCAGCTTTTTGGGAGGAGGAGTTGCAAACTCTTCTCTGGCAGCAGTGTGAGCCCTGGGACTTTCAGGGAGGGTGGTTTGTCCCGGCCTCTCACCCACTCCTGGAAAATACCACACAGTGCCTGCACCACTCGGTGCCACACACCCAGCTCTGAGTTGCCTTCACCACTCCTGGGAGGGTTATGGTGCTTTCTTTGACCACTCAGTCTCCTCTTTCATCCTGGATTAAGAACGCAGCTCTTGGGTGCCCGTTGTGCCTTACTGTGCAGGAACCTTCCCAAAGGAATAAATGTGAAGCAGCAGGGAT